CCTTTATTCTATAGAATGAATAAAGCACCATTGTAGTTACATTTCAGTTAGAGAAATCAGTCATAAATCTTTTTTGCAAAGTAATTGTGCTCATATAGCAGTGTCTACATCTGTCCCAATAGAAAAGACAGCTGTTCAAATGAAGGAAACATGAGAGAATAGAAGTTAACTTGCATTATTTTACAAAAGCTGTAAGATATTCTTTGTCCCAGAATCAGCATGCCAAATTCTTGCAGAACTGTCCACATTGTAAAACTGTATTAATTTATAAATATTATTCAGTTAGAAACGAAACATATGCATTTATATATAGTGCAAACCTATGCATATCCAATTGTGTATACTCATTTTTTTGTGTACGTTAGGGATTTTCTCTATTGTGTGAAAAATGTGTAAAACATGAATATATTGTGCACACTCTTATATCTTTGTAAGAAGTGTACAAAAAGTGCAAATGTGGTTTTCTCAATGGACATTTCTCTTTCCAAGAGGTTTACTTTATACTGGCAGGAACCTTTTAATGAGCTGTTTTCGTTTTTGGTTGACAAAATTATGAACACTATCTGTTCTGCCTCTCACTGATGCAGGCCTGTGCAGAAATTGTCTTTGAAAAATATAATAGCTTCCTTTAAACCCATACTTTCTTCAAAGCATGAATCCTAAATCATACATTTTAAAGCACTGCACTGCACTGCAAGTACTATCAACTGTTTACATGCTATTTGTGGTACACTTAATGATGAATAATTCTGGACAAACACCTTAAAACGATTAATGTTACTTCCCTTTACAGATAATATTTCAGGTTTCATATTATTTGATATTGTTTTGTTCTATCTATGGAAACATGAAGCTTTTATTCACATTTACGTAGGGTACATGAAAACCATATGTATATATTCTATGGAAACTTTCTGTTACAGTTAAAGGTTATGCAAAATGCTTACTTTTCAGTACAATGGTATTTATATAATTTAAACAGAAACTATTTACCTTTATATCACAGTGATTTCAGTCGTATGTTTAAAAACTGTACATTCTGCCTGACAATTACACTTAACACTGCCATGTCCAGTTATTATTTATTTCTCTAACATTTATTAATTTAAACATTGATTATTAACATTTGTATAGTAGCCAGATCTTCTTTAGAAATGATCATTTTTTCTCAGCTGACCTATAAGGTTTAAGATCGATATTTATTTATTAGGTGAAATGGGAGCACACCAGGATTTTGCTATGTGTTGTTTTTATTATATATAATAGTATACCTGTATATACTGTATTTATTATTGTTACAGTATACAATAGTAAATTTAAGAATGACCTCATGAAATTAATACATACGGTTCACAAGTTCCTGTATACAGTAAATTTCCCCAACTAATATCTTTTTTGGGACTCCTTGGTTAAACAATTAGTAAATCAGTATTATATTTAATTTTATTTTTCCCTTGCAGGCTATTTAAAGTTACAGAAATATCTTTTTTTTTTTTGATTGTAGGACAAAATAGGATAAATTAGGTATTACTGTTCCTCTCTTATACTGTATATAAGCACTACTTTCTGGCTGGAAATATTTACTTACATAAAATATACTACATTTATTATCAAATACAGTACATCAACTAAAGATATGAATAATTTCATATAAAGCTTATATAGAACATAATTAAGGCAATCTATTGAGAAGTTGCAAATAATGATTTTTGTAGGTTGGAAACAAAGGCTTTTAATTCAACTTTGTTTTTTACAAATCACCAAATTCCCATTAAGATTTGTATGCATTTTCAATGCTATCTTTTCCGTTATGAACAATTTCTCAATGAGGCTTCAAAAGCAGGGCTAGAAACAAAGAATAATTGGACAGTGAATCCCAGTTGACCATTTTGGTTTTCTAAAGAGTCTTCCTGCAAATTAATTAGATTATGCAGTCAAACACCTTCCCACTTGTTTTTGCTGCATACTCAATATGCACAAAATTACATGGCCTTATTTATTATTGACACCTGTGCTTCGCTTACAATTAATACTGCTAATCCTGGGTTTACATTTACTGTCAGCCTGTCATTTTTTTCTTTTTTTTTTGAACCAATCGTAAGCCATAAGCATTGGTTGGCTATAAAGGTGCACAGCAGCTATTTTTGCAATGACAGTGCGGTGAGGCAATATGAGAGCTGTGTGCTAATGAGCTGATACTGCAGAGGCAGGGGGAGACATACTGTAGTACAGTATAAGAGTACAGCAGAAAAGACGCAGTCCAGCTTACTGGGACAGTTCACAGTGAGTCTCTACTCAAGTACAATTTGACTTCTCAAGCCACTTGGATCTCTTTGACACAGTGGGGAAGACAATGTTAATGGACTGTACTAATTCCCCAACGACAGATGCAGTTGTTTTTAATACATAGAAGAGCACACATGGTAAGAACAGGAAGACATAATAAAAGATGAAATATAACTAATTATAACTTTTCATCTGCATATCTTCATATATGAGGGGGAAATCACTTAACTGGACTGATAACACGAACTTTTTGAAACATACAGTAGCTACTGTAGCTGTTAGAGAACTATTACGGAGTAACCTGAAAACATACAGCATGCACTGACAACATTTGGCAGAAACAAAACATTTTAGCTGAAACAAATCAGTTTAATTGATTTAACGTAATACAGTTCAAGCAAGGATAGCTGCTCCAGTTGCTGCTTTCATTCCTTAGAGAATATAAGCTTATTTCTTGTTTCATGACGTACACAGGTCTTCTTTAAGATTTCTTTACTTATATTTAGCTCGCAGTATGTTCTGTAAATCACTGTTTTGTACGTCAGCCTTTGTATTTTAAACATTATTGTATATTAGGTCCACAAGCTTTGCAGTTCATCTTACTGCATTTGCGTGTTTCAATTTGCAATTAACAATTATGCAATGTTCATATAAATTATGTACTATGTTCATATCAAATCTCACTGATTACTTAATGTTTATTTTTTGAATGAATGTCACAGAAAACATAGTACTGTGTTCCATAAAATCACATATAAAATATGACCCAGGAAAACCATTCTGGAAACCACACAATGCCAATGGCCTGCTATTTATAACACCACATAACTCATTATGGCAATGAGTACTGTATGTGTTAAAACCATTTGGACTTCAACCATATCACACTAATTTGAAATAATACTATGTTTTTAACAAAAAAAAACAATCATTCAGAAGCTGTTTCACAAGGCTTTTGCAATGCACTTTTCTATATCTTAGTCATTGTGCATTTTATACTGAAATCTAGACATTCAAAGAAGGGGGAATCAAAATCATTTTTTAAAAGTGGAATCAACAGTACTAATGGAAAACCGGTCTTGAAAAGACCCTCCTCCTTAACCACTTAACATATTACACTTTTTTAATACAATGCTTTACTGTTTAGAAACTTAAATTACATGCACATTCTTAAGGGCTAAGAGTTCATTAAAGACTGTTCATAAAATAAAATCTAACTCCTCAGACATCTGGATATAAAGAACCCTATGACCACACTGCAGTGCTTACATACAGTATGTGTAGGCTCACATAAAAAACACCTCCAGTGACCTTGGATAAAACATTGCTCAGAACATACAGTACAACTGCTGACAAACGGCAAGTTCTCTCACACTAACATCTGTAGATAATCCGAAAGGAATTTACAAATGTATGTCAAATACAATATAACACCCTTTTACAAAGAAAATGAATTACAATTAGAATAATGACACTGTTCTGTTCTGACACAGTTCTGACACTGAAATATTCTTACACATTCGCTCATAATGATGCCTTTATTTAATTTCTTTCGAAAATCGAATACACATTATAGTCATACATTTTAATGTACTCCGGTTCTTCATCGATGCCATTAATATTTGAAATAATGAGGCAATAATAACGTCTTACGTGCTAACATTAAAAAACGAACAAAATATTAAAGTACTTTCATTTTACTTTGCCGTGCATGATTTGCTATTTTTACTTTATGAACTTTATGGAGATTCTGATCGTTATTTTTCTATGAGTGAATTTCGTGTCTTATAAATAAATAACAGTGCAAGTTCTTTGTAGTTTGCTTATCCGTATTGATCCAAATGCGTGGTGGCCCCTAAGGATTATTCTTTGTATTAATTGTTTCTGAGAACGTTTCGCCATGCACTAATGATTTGGGTACCTTGGCAAACTGAGATGATGAAAACAGGAAATATTTAGTAAGCACATTCCTCAATCCCACCTCAGGATCTCACAAACAATACCTCTATTAGGACAATCATCGCATACTATAACTACCAATAAACGGCTGGCCATTGAAAATCATACGTTTGTGACAGAGATCGTTTTAAAGCTGCATTGCTGTTAAACACTTCTACTGTAAGTGCCGAAATCACTTAATTATATTAACTGTTAAATATAAGTATATATTGTAGGTACAGTACATTATAGGTATTTGTATATACACGGTAGGCATATATTACGATTGATGAGCTACAGTACATATACTGTACATACTGTATATTTTCCCTCTGTAGTCGTGCACTCCACTTGCTTTTCAGAAGAGTATAACCATTATTTATTATGAACGGCAAATGTTTAATTTCCTTTAATTTTACATTAATCTGTGTAATACATTTAGGATTGTTAGCTCAAATAAAACGAATGTACATTCGCAAAAACATACGACATACGTTGTATTTTACGAAAATATATATATTTCAAGTAATACAACGCAAACGTTTGATCGCTGTTTTATAAACTCAGCAAAGACATACGTTGTTCAGACGGTCAAAGGAAACTTCAAGTCAAAATAGTATGTAGCGGTATACTGTACTGTAGGTACTGTACTTTCACATCATTTATAAGGAAATTGGAAGAGCTACAGTACATACATCGTACAGTTCGAAAATAAAGCCACAAAGCCCAAAATGCAATAAAGCAGAGCATAATATTAAAAAAGATAATTTACTCACACGCATGTGTGACAGAAAAACTGTTTGAGGATTCTAGGTGATCTACATGGTAGTTTAGATGGAAGGGTTTTTCGGTCACATTTTGATTTGTATTGTACAGCTGTACTGCAAACCTAAAAGCGCTGTGCTCCTGCACGGTAGATCGCATGAAAAGTCCCCCTGAAAGAACAAGAAGGAGATGCATAAATTAACATGGAAATGGAATCCATCCATCAGCTGAGTATACCTTGGGAGAATGACAAAGGTACTGCTCATCCTCACTTTAAATCATCCACAATGCAAGGTATCGGTAAATGTGCAGAGATGTGTGTGAACACAGAAACCCAACGTGTTCTCTCCCAGAATCTATAAGACGTAAAATTCTGAATTTTTATAGTTCGCTACATTTTAGTATAAAGTACGGGTGTCAAGAATTCCGATTTGCTTTTGAAAATCCGAACCAGATTGAGAAACTAATCTCAAACGGTGAACCAGCTGTGTAAATTATTGCTCAATTGGGCATTTTTGCGCATTAACAGTAAACGATTCGAAGATGGTGTACTTGTTGTGAATTACAAACTTATTTCTGTTTTGCTATGTTCACACTTTCACTCATATATGTACCGCATGACACACAAGTTTAGGTAAGGGTTTAAAGTAGAAAAAATGAAGCCTCCAGTACCAAGGACTGGAGCAATGCAGAGCTTTCAAAAGAACTGCAATTTTCCAAAAGACCTCGAAGCGAGTTCGTCAATTGCAAACTTAAAAATGAATTACTTTATAGTTATTAAGCAGTGCTAGCGATAAGTCAGGAGCTGTGCTGTTTTCAAAAGATTCTACAATAAACCATATGAACACCACACAGAACAAATAGCATGTTTGTTTTATAAGTTTGAAATAAAATTACTTACCTATATTTATCTGGTTTGGAAAGCCAGCGAGGGATTTACCAAAAAGGATAGTTAAAAAAAGGACAGTATGCAGAATTCTGCGTCCCATTTTCTGCAACCTTTAAATTCAACTCCTAAAACGAAACTGATACGGCAAAATCATGTACACAGCCGTGGACGTCAAGAAAATCCTTCAGCTTTTATTTCTTTCACAATGTCCCACTTGGGTTCATTGAGGTGCAAGCAGAGTTGCAGATCAAATTTTCTGCCACTGAAAAATCCAGGGACTTATCCCAAAGATGGTGGTAGAAAGAGTACCAGATCTGATTGTGAATAAGGCTCTTCCAATTGGGCCAGCAGGGGGAATATTGATCAAACTTGATCTGACGTTGAATTAAAGCAGCATCTCATAGCATCCCTGCAACTGCAGACCTAGACTGCAAAGCACAAGTGCTGCGTTTGTCAACACTGAGGTGCAATCAATAGAAACACACTAGCCTCACGTGGACTGTAATTTTAAATAACCATTGATCGTTTTTAAAGCTGCAGAAGCGAGTTTTTACTAGAGCAGGTTTAGTATAGCCCCGTAAGTTATTTGCACGGAAAATAAGCGCTTTGTTATACCAGCGATATCAACGCTAACCTTACGGGTTCAGTTAGTACTACTCGCCTCGACTTTAATTTTATGCCGCTGTAAAACGAAACGTGAAAATATTTAGATGATTTAGGTGCTTGGAAATTATCTAAGACATCGGAATACGAAATAAAGAATCTTTACGTTTCTTTTAATGCGATAACACGTGTATTAAGAAGCTCACACACGAGGGATTCTTGTGTAACCTACATAATGGTTATTCTTGATCGTTTTTCTCATACCAACCTTCTTATCTCTAGTTTCTGAAAATAATAGTACATCCTTGGAATACTGGTGTTCGTTTAGAAGCCAATAAATAAATCCGTTATGTATGATTAAATCCATGATTGCTGGTGAGGGTATGAGGTGAGAGATGAAAAAATACCGGACAACGTTTAGGTGACTGAGCTTGCAAACTACATACTGTATCATGAGCTCAATGTTTGTAAGGCATGTTATGTGCAATGGACACAATGTCATAGCAGCTACCAGTGCACATTTATATTATTATTAAACCCAAATCCCATTTGATAACTTCCATTTCAAAAAGCGTATGGACACATTTTTTGGCACAGTTTTCATGTCACTCAGAATATAGTTTACAATACAGGACTGTTTTCTACTTTTCAAGTGTTTTTACCATTTTAAGGTAAGATGGTATATCACGAATTTGTAAGGTTTTCACAGTTTTTTATTGCTGTACACAACATTAAAGCTGTCAATTGTAATTAAAATGACAGATAAAGCCTTTTCTTCTGATGTGGTTTACACATGGACTATCAATCATTTAAAATTAATTTCAAAGCTTTTCGCTATACTGTTTAAAAATAAGTTTTGCATATGTTTGCAGTATTTTAAATGTATTTTTCTGATACTTTTTGCTAAAAACTGCTTTACTACTTCACGGCTACAGCTACAGTATTACATCTAGTTGGCTATTTTAACAAAAACAGCTATTTCTGGTTTCTTGTTCCTAATTTATATTAAACATGAAAATGTTTATAGTCAGGTTGTAATGATGTTAAACATTAAAGAGTTTTAGAACAACAAAACCCAGATTGTGCATTTATGTACTTGAGGTGGCTCTGATACATAATGCTACTGTAAGTTAGCTAGACATTATCATCAAACTATACATTTGAAATATCAGATTAATTGGTGCTACTGCTTACTACATACGGAAAAAATAACAGTCATAGTGTTGCATATTTTATAACATTTTGTCTTTAGTGTGCACAGTAGCATTTCATATGGGCCTGTTTTACGCACTGGGATCCATTTAATCACAACTGTAAGTTAGACATTTAGAACAGTAATTTGAATTATAACCGGCAAGCAGACTTAGGAATGTGACTTTGAAACCAATAGGCATTAATGTAAGGAAGTACATAGTTTTTGTTCTGGAGTGTTGCTTTGGGTTTTCGTTCCACACAAGCTTTTAACTCTCTAATTGATGTCATTATTGAACATAAAAAAGGGGACAAAAGTTACAAATGAGAGGAGGCATTTCAGCCCTTTTATATCATTTAGATAGTGGTTGCTAATTGATCTGAGTATCGCATCCAGTCTTTTTTCAAAAGAAACCAGAGTATCAGCTTCTAATGAATCAGAGAATTAGTGAAAAACAGTGAATCAGTGTCTTCTCTGTTCAAGACTAAAAGGCTTTTTAGCCAGTCAGAGGAGCATAATCTTTTAGGGCCAGGAATGCATCTATTCACTCTTTCCTGGACTGATTTCAGAACAGAAATACATCAATACAGAATATTTATAATGTGTTGAGCAATGATGTACACCATATTTATGTGAGATTTTGCTACTGTATTGTATATGTGACATCCATTGATTTAAACTGTACACTTCCAGCAATATATTCTAATATTAGACTTATCTTTAAAATTCGGAATGATCATGTACAGTACTTTGCTGATCTTCCCATTTTGGTATCATCTGCAAATGTGACAAGTTTACTGACTATACACAAATCTAGCTCATTAGCATAATATAGATCCTTGTGGTCCACTAATTATATCACCCTAATTTGAGCATTCTTCAATTATCTGTACTGTCTGATTTCTATCGGTTAGCCAAATTTCAATCCACAAATGCACATCACATATAATTTGAGAGTGAATCTTTTATGAAGAACTGTATCATAACCATTCTGAACATATAAACATACCATACCATAGGTTCTGCTTTTATCTATTAGGGCTGTTATATATCCATTTGTTTGTTTATATACAGTAATTCTAACAGATTAGTTAAGATCTGCCTTTTATAAATCCACTTCAGTACAATTCCCAAGAATATTATATCCTGGAATGTATGTCTTTAAATTTCTTACATCTAGAAAGTGTGTTGTTTATTCCACTGTTGTTTGTCCCAAAATAAACAACTGCAACTGGAATCTTGACATGTCTTTGGTAGGAACCTACTTACTCTTTGGGTGATGTTGGACCAGGGGGACTACATACTGTTATTGACTCAGGTCCTCACTGCATATTGTGCTTGCAGGGTTTTAGAGGAAAGACTCTGCAATACCCTCCACTTCTCTTTTTCTGGTGCATTTGATTTCAAAGGTTCTGGGTGAAGTTAGTGTGACAGGAGTCTGAACTTCAGTATCTGTGATGTGGGTGTCCTGGGAGCTGCTGTCTTGAGAAAGCAGGTTTTGACCATTTTTAGGTTCTTCAGTGGAGGAAAAAAAACATGTTTTGTAATGTGATATTTAATGGAGTTATCATGAAAAGTTGCTGCATTTTTTTTGTTTGCCAACCTGGGACCAATCCCCCTCTGTCCTCTTCTTCATGTTGGTTAGGTACTGTATATGTAAATGTGGGATTTCCCAGTTCCTCTATTTTATAGTGTTTTTTAAGTTCCACTGGTTCCGTCTTCAGTGCATTCACTTTTTCAAAAAGAAACTATTTTTTCACAGCTGTGGTTTAGCTGCTGGGAGTCCACCCTTTGGGAATCAGTACTTCTCTGTGGTAGTAGACTGCCATTCGTCTGCTGTGTGTATTGAATTTTTAAAGTAGGCCACCTATTTTCCATCTAATTCTCTATCCAAAACCAAGCTACCAGTACAAACTAAATGTAACTCAGCAAAAGAGTAGATACTTCAACTGATAAAGCCTGATCACTTAACAACCTGAACATCTGTCTCTAGGAAGGCAAGTATTTTAAACAAGTATTTTTTGAGGAAAAAGCTACACTTTTTTTCTGAAGTTGACTTATAAAGAAGATAAGGGCAGTCCACTTATTAACACACAATAATAAAATACCTAGTGCAGTTCCATTCAATAATATGTTGCAAGTTAGCTTTACTGGTAATCTATAGATACAAATGAATAGCAATAGTGTAACTAAAACCAGTTTTGTACAGAGAAAAAAAATCAAGAATTTCTGAGACTTGACCTTAACTGCAGCACACATTAGGAAAAAAAACAAAATTCTCTTAACTGGGTCAGTTCAACTCCTTTCCTTAATTCTCTAGATGATACAGTGGAGTTTAAGACCTGTAGGAACTTTAAGAGCTAAGATATTTAACAAATATTGAGGCTTTGAAACAAAATGCTTACTGCATATCATTCTATTTTTTTGTTTTTGGAGATTGTGAGGTGCTTGCTGTATGCAGTTGCAATTTCAGTATGTCAAAATAGCATAAAAATAAGCTTAATTACTTTTCTGTTTTGCAGGACAAAATATGATCATTTCAGCATATTCTGTTTAGTAAAAAAAAACCTGTGAGGTTTTTGTTAGCTGATAGTGAGAGAATCTGAATTGATAACAACAGGAATTGAAATTCTCTTTCTTTTAACATAGAGCAGGTATCTCATGCAGTTGACAGATCTGATTCCCGGTAATGTTCTACTACAGTGACTCAGTCTAGTCAGTATTCAATCCTTCGGAAACAAAAACATAGTTCAGCCCCAACTGTCCATCAATAACTGACCTCTTGTCTTAAAAAAAGTTTATAGAACTATAAATTATTTTCTACTTGAAGTTTAAATGAATATACTTAGCATGCTTTTGATGGCTGCTTTTCTTCAATAGGTGCATTTGGTTGGGCAGTTAATTCACTGTGTTACCTATTTCTCAACCTGTTCAGAGAACTGTGAGCACCAAACTAAAAGCTTTTTATTCTGTGATCTTACTTAATGTATCATTCTGATTAGATGCAAGTCCCATGAATACAAAAGCAAACAAGGTGCTGTGAATGAAAAATAGCTTATCTTATTTTTTAACCACTTCATCCAGTTCAGGGTTGCAGGAGAGTCTGAGACATTTCTCGACAAGGAATGGGCACAAGGTGGTGTACACCATGGATGGGACGCTAGGCAATTGCAGGGCAGACAGATACAGACACACTCACACCAAGGCCAATTTTACCAGAAGCCATTTAACCTAGCATTATGTCTTTGGACTGTGGGAAGAAGCCCGCTCGAATATGAGGAGAACACACAGTACATACTTTACGCAGATTGCATTCCAGGTCCAGGATTGAAGCCAGGGTCCCAGCACTGCAAGGTAGCCATGCTAACCACTGTGTCATGGTGTCTATATTATATACGATATATATTATATTTCATGATTTTCTTAAAACAGTATTCGCTTCAAAATATTAGGACACTTTTGAGTATGAGCATGAGTTCAGAGTTTAAAATCATGGCTTTTATATTTACTTTAGGCCTTATGAAAGATAAGCCAGTGTACAGATTTAAAATGACACCGTAAGTGGTGAGGGGTGAACAGTAGCAGAATAAAAACATTTCCTTCTAAATTAAAGACATGTATTAGGATTATATTATTGGATACTTAGCTGCTTCAATCATTGAGTCGTACCAGGGTTTGAATTGAAAGTTTTTTTATAGAAAGTCAATTGGTGTTGATGCACCCACAATGTGCATTTTGAGTTAAAACATTAACCTAGTTTTATGGACATGTAGTGAATAATGAACAACAGCTAATGTTTAATGTTTTGGTTAGATGTTGCTCAAACATGATTGGTTAGCTAATATTACATGTCGTATTAGCACATACAATAATTGAGCTTCAGTTGTGATTATAATTGATTTGGATTAAATTATAAACTTGGTTTTCTCTCACAAAAACTAAATTGTTATGACAGTAGTTAAAGTTGTTATAATTACAGAAAACACTATCTTAGGATGTGAGCAAATTGGTGACCTTCATACTATGTAGTAGCATCTGACTGTCTTAACACATTTG